AGGGGGGAGGGTGGAGGGTGGAGGGTGGAGGGTGAAGCGTGGAGGGTGGAGGGTGGAAACACTTCAGATTATCAAATGGAGCTTGGTATCCAAAACATGACGCCCTCAGCAACCTCTGGACTTTCAAATGGAGCTTAGCATCCAATATGATACCTTCAACTACCATAACTTAGTTTTGATTTCGGCAGCTGATCTTCCGGTCAGAATAGCCCGCGCTGTATCCGTGGGAAACCAAACTTACCTGGTGATTCCTCTGAAGAGCACAGCTCCCTGCTCGCGTATGTGAGCCATCTGCTCTCAAACATTGTCAAGTGTTCTTTCAAGAGAGAGCTCCCATTCAGAGCAGAGAATTGGAAGGGCATTACTGTCACCCACGCCCTGTGCATATCAGGCGAGTGCAAAGAGCATTACTGCCGCTCAACTCTGCTGAGCATGTCTCTCCAAGTGGTGGAGGAGATCTTGAAGTTCTTCTTTGGAAGAGACTTGGTAGGGATACACAGCTCTCAAGCTCTGATGAGTTCGTCTCTCAAAGTGGGAGAGGAGATCTTGTTCTTTGGGAAGGACTTGGTAAGGATAGACATCCACAAGTTGTCTCACGTTGATAGACGTCACTCCGTCAAACTGGCCAGTCTCTCTATTCCACCAAGGGATAACCTGTACAGTCTTCCCAAGCTACCGTCTTCACCCGAATAGAACGCCCGATCATTATAGCCGAATTTGATGCAGCGATCGGTCCAGATGCAGCGGTAATGACCGGGCGTTCTATTCGGGTGAAGACGGTAGGCTACTTTGAGGATGCATTTAAACCAACGGTATCTCCAGAAGTCACAACGAGCATGCCGCGCAGCCATTGCTACAGTGCTGCGACGTTTCCAACTGAATGAATTTATGCATCCCAGCTCGTCATGGTGCGCGTGCAGCCGCGACCTTTGGAAGTACTGGTGGTTTAATGTTGCCACCAACAAGTTCTTTATGTAGATTTTTAGTTGGAGCAGATCTGATCTTCTTGTATGGGCTGCACTCCTGTAGATGGGTGTCTGACGCTTCTGGCGTACGAAATGCAGCAAAAAGCTGATGAGTTGCGCAACAGTGCAGAACTGATGCATGTGTTCAGCAACAGTGGTCTCTCCTTTATCCATACACCTTTCAGATTGCTCACACGCTGGATTTTGCCAATCATCCTGCTTTCCCAAAATTAGCTAGTGGAGGCCCTGCGTCTTGTAGCCCCCTCCACCCCCAACAACACCTGGAACTCTTCGCAGTGTTCAGGTTGCCTAGCAGCCAAGACTTTCAATCCTGACCTCATATGAAGTCGAGCCACTGACTTCAGTGTGACCGCCAAGTCCCTGAGAATGACCACCTACTTCGACCATTGACTAGGGCCTCACATACATAAGTGGGATCATAGATCCAGACACACTGCTTTAGGGCTCTGTTAGTGGAAGCCATGCGTCTTGTAGCACCCTCCTCCCCGGCGCGTGGACCCCTGAAAAGAGTTCATGTTGATCAGCAGCCAAGACCTTCAATCCTCACCTCTCAGAAAGCTGAGTCCCTGCCTTCAGCATGACCGCCGAGTCCCTGGCTTCAAAATACCACCGACTTCGACCAATTGACTAGGGCCTCAGATAAGTAGGAGCATAGATCCAGACACACTGTTTCAGGGATCTGCAACAGAGTCTGAAGCAGATGGAGGGCAGGCGCATACGTGGGCAGTAAGCAACGGCTGAATTCGTGTTGTTGTCAACAGCGAGCCTGATACTTGAATCAGATGGAAAGTGCAAAGAGGTCCTCGTGCTCCAGGGTGAGGAGGCCTTTGCCTTTCCGCCATTTGCCAGCTCTAGGCCGCAGATTTCCGGGGCATTGCATCAATTATAACGGAAGTTCCACCTTGAGGACGAAAAGCCGCGGGGCCAAGGGGCGGCCTTGGCTCGGACGGCAGATTTCTGGGGTGTACCTGAATATCAATCACAACAGGACTTCCAACTGAAGGACAAACAGCATTAGCCTGAGGGCCAAGGAGCAGCCTTGCCTCAAAGATCTTGTAAGCTTGAAGGCTGCATAGATGGTCCCACTGACCATTAATGTCATTCAACCCCGAATGAGTACATATGTAAATCTGGCCCACCTGCAAAAGATAAGTCCCACCCTTTTGTAGGATGAATTCCCAGTTTACCTCATCATACACCCCTCTTCCAAGTCAAGCAAAGCAGAAGGGCAGCAGCTTCCGGTTGCTCATTCATTGATCGTTTGTCAGCCTTACCTCAGAGATCCGGTAAGCCAAAGAGGCTCGAGAGAACAAATCGTGCCTTTTTCCCAGCCATTTTTTCAGAGTCACGGCGAGCATGTCGCCACGACTCTCAGGAAGTACCGCTCGCCGCGTGCCAGGAAGTACCAGGGTCCCTTTTCGCTGAATATCCATCCAGGCAAAATGGGTTGCATACAAGGACCAGTCGCCCGTCTTCAATACAAGTGAAGATATGTGACACACCAAAGGAAGTGCATTGGGGGAGGGGGAGAAGCCCTACATTCTTTCTATCAATCCATGGCAAATGCAACCTTCAACCTTTTTTTTCCCCTCCAGTTGCTCCATCTATTGGTGGGGAGCTGCACCTGCTGGAAACCAGGTCCAGCGTCCCTTCTTACAGCATTTTTCACAGTCTGAGAATATAGGTGGGGGTCTGCCTCTTCCAATCCTTCTTTCTTTTCTAGCAGTCCCATTCCTTATCAGTCAAGGTCTCTATTCCCCGTCTCTTTCCTTTCATAATCCCTAAACCCTAGCCTCCCGTTCTGATCCTGCTCTCACCTTCCCCTTCTGCAGTTGAGTCATCCTCCCCTGGAATATGTGGGAGGGGGTTTGCCTCTTCAGCCCCCTTGGGCGGCACCTGATCCTTCTTCCTCTACTAGCCGTCCCATTCCCCACCAGTCTAATCCTCGTTGATGTTGGTCTCTATCCCCTGTCCCTGCCCTTTCATAAACCCTAAGCCTGGCCTCCTGTTCTGAACCTGTTCTCTCCCTCCCCTTCTACAGTTAAGTCTTCCTGTTCTTGTTCCGCTTCCCCCCTCATCCCTCTCTCACATACCATTCCATTCCTACCAGGCAGTTAGCGGGGGAGGGGAAGAAATCTGGGAAGTCATCGCATGGTCGCATTGGGATTGAGGTGTCCAGTTTGGTCCACTCGTGGAAGCGGAGTCCTTAGTCTCTGATTATCCCCCTGTCGTCTGGCCTCCCTCTTTGTTCCCTTTTTTCCCCTTCCCATTCCACCATCCGTATCCTCCTCCCCCCTTTCCCCCCCCCTGTCCTCCCCCCTTTTCCCCCCCAAGCCAGCTTTTGCAGAATCCTCTACGACTAACGGACAATTCCCACCACCATCTGACCCGGAAGGTGGGTGCAACTATGACGATGGGAGCGAGCCAACCAGCAAGCACAGAGAGTGAGAGAGATGAATTTGTACATGGCTCCAGTGCAGTTCAATAGCACACAACGACGGTTGAGACTGCGCATTGAGAGAGAGAGGGGTTGGGGGGGGGGGGATAGGTAAGCGGCTGCTTTGCAATTCAATAGTTCGCAGCCCGTCAGGGTTGCGTTTTATACACCTGGAAGCTTTCAACGTTCAATTCAACGTCCCGTCGGTGTCTGGGCATTTCTGGTTTGGGGAGAGGGAGGGGGGGGGGGGGGGGGGGGGGGGGGGGGGGGGGGGGGGGGGGGGGGGGGCACTGGGCCCAGGTGGAATGGAAAGGCCAAGTACCCACGGTCGGGAGAGTTTGCAGCCTGTCAACGTTGGTGTGGGGGCATTTTTGGTTTGGTGGGAAGGGGGGGCGGCACACTGGACCCAGGCGGAATGGAAACAGCAAGCACCTAGGGTCGGGAAAGTCTGAAATGGTACGCAGGGTCCAGGTCAAGACGGCGCTTGCAATTGCAACAGGTGTCCTAAATGTGGTCATCTGCACGTCGGTGTGCGCTGGTCCCTGCTGGCAGCTCTCTCTCTCTCTCTCTCTCTCTCTCTCTCTCTCTCTCTCTCTCTCTCTCTCTCTCTCTCTCTCTCTGTGTGTGTGGGTGTGTGGTGTTCTAAATGTGGTCATCTGCACGTTGGTGTGCACTGGTCCCTGCTGGCAGCTCTCTCTCTCTCTCTCTCTCTCTCTCTCTCTCTCTCTCTCTCTCCTGCTTTTCAACTTGGACGATGAAACCTTTGTTATCACTCGCACACTGACAAACTATGCGTTGCGCACCCGTGAGAGGGCACGGTAAGTCAATACATGATGACGGTGGGTACAAAGACCTCTTGGGGCCAAGTGCCAGTTCTATCCACGGAGCGCAGTCCTGACATGGCGGGGATGGGAGATCCGTAGCTCAGCACATGGGCTCCCGCGGCAAATCTGACCCGTCCATTTAGCTCAAATCGGAGCCATCCATCAACTTGCTGGCCGCAGAGCAGATCCTGTCCGCCCATTAGCTCGCTGGCGGCGGCAAATCTGACCCGTCAATTAGCTGCCTGGCAGCAGCAAATCTGACCCGTCAGCTCCCTGGCAGCTAATCTGAACCGTCCGTTAGGCAGATCTGAGCCGTGCATTAGCTCGCAGGGGGCGGTAAATCTGACCCGTCCATTAGCTCGCTGGCGAGTGCATTAGCTCGCAGGCGGCGGTAACTCTGACCCGTCCATTAGCTCGCTGGCGGCGGCACATCCTAGCCGTCCATTAGCTCGCTGGCGGCGAATCTGAGCCGTCAAGCTCACGGGGGTGAATCGCAGCCGTCTGTCGATTCGCTGGCGGCGGGAAATCTGAGCCATCCATTAGCTGACGGCGGGAAATCTGAGCCATCCCTTAGCTGGCGGTGCAACCGTCCGTCAATTAGCTGGCGGCAGCACATCCTAGCCGTCCATTAGCTCGCTGGCGGCAGCACATCCTAGCCGTCCATTAGCTCGCTGGCGGCAGCACATCCTAGCCGTCCATTAGCTCGCTGGCGGCGGTGAATCTGAGCCGTCTGTCGAAATCAGCTGGCAGCGGGAAATCTGAGCCATCCATTAGCTGGCGGCGCCGGCAAATCGGAACCGTCTGTCAATTAGCTGGCGGCGGCGAATCGTAGCCGTCCATCGATTAGCTGGCGGCGGGTTTCATAGACGACTTCTTGCCCTTTGGTTCAGGGGTGTTTCTTCTCTTACGTTCCGGCGTGTTTCTGCCCGTCGCTTGAGGCGTGCTTTTCTTACTTGTAGATGCTTTCTTGCTGCCCCCCCCATCTCCTTCCCCTCCTGCTCGCTTTCCACCCCCCCTCCCACTCGTTCCACCCTCCCCCGTCAATTTCGACAGTCTTTCCAGCACCTCCTTCTCCCTGCTTTCGAAGTCAGCTTGCAATTCCACCTTCATCTTCTCCATATGTTCAGCGACGACTCGTTGAACCTTCTCCAAGACGTCATCGGGTATGTTCGATCGGAACTCGTCTTCGATCTGCTTCTGCTTTTCTCGCATCGCTGCCAATCTCGCCTCCTCCTCTCTCTTCTCCTCCTCCTCTCTCTCTGCCTTGCGCTCTTTCTCAAATTGGCTGTCCATCTCTGCTTGGGTGATTGCCTCGCTCAGAGGGCTCAGCGCGGGGGGTAGCTCCGGTTCATGCTCCTCTGACGTCGTTAGGGTTTTAGTACACCTCCTCGTGAATGCGTACTGATAGAGTTTATAGTGCTGGTAATACGTGGAGAGAAGGTAGGGGATGATGTTCCTTAGGTCGCGCAAGGAGAAGAGACCTATACTGAACGGAACACGCTGCACGCTATGGCGAAGCAGCTCGGTTTTCAATCGATCGAAGCTGCGATCGAATGTCAGCCGTTGATCTGAGGACTGTCGATGGACTTGGTTGACGATGGAAACCAAGGCGGAAGTCTTCTCCTTGGAGAACTGCATCGTCTCTTCAGCGAACTGCTTGGTGTAAAACGACAAATTTCTCTCAATAACAGCGCGGGCAGCAGCTAGCCGCGCCGGCCATGAGTCCGCAGCAGCAACGCCATCATCGCCAGAGCTCGGCAAAGCCGCCACTTGCGGCTCTTTTGCTGATTCTTTTTCGTTAGTTTTTACCTCCCCTTCCTCCAATTTCTCCTCCTTTGACGTTACTTCTGCCACTTGCGCCGCTCCCGTCGCCAGGGCCACCGCCGCTGCTTCTTCCGTTACCGCATCCATTCCTTACCTCATCCTCCTGCCAACTCTCTCTCTCTCTCTCTCTCTCTCTCTCTCTCTGGCGTGCGCACACATATGCACAGTGCTTACTTG